ACATATATATATGTTTTATATATTTTACTGTTTATATATTTTACGTTATAAAATGTTTATCTCTCTTGTTATTTGTATTTATATATTGGAATGTATTGTTAAAATTTTCTTTCTGTCAATTCTTTTAAAGTTAAATAGGGCGATACCGCACACGAAAACGGAGTTTTCGTATAATTTGTAATTAAAGTGTTGTTACATTCTTGTGTTTTTTTATCAGAAACGTTAATTTATTTACTTGTACGTACACACACACACATCTTTGAATTTTTTATTTGTATTTATTTGTTACATAAACGAAGTTAGTATAAGTTAAATTTTAGTTGCAATATTTGAATATATAACCAGCTAATGCTAGTGTTTAGTATACATTCTACTAAGAAATAAATATATACATAGCGATTAAATTTTGCCCAAGATAACATATTTATAAATCTCCATAGAACTATTGTTAGAAAATAATACGCCTAATGATTATTACTTCCATAGAAAGAAAAAAAAAGGCTATATCAAAGAAAATATCACATTTATACGGTATTCTGGAGATATTACGACAGTCGATTTTTATTTTAAAATATTCTGGAATAATTAAATTATGTATCGTTTTAGATTTATAATGACGGTAATTTTCAAATAAATATAGTATAAATAATCTAATTTATTTGTACAAACTTTATTAGAAAATTTTATATCTAAATGTTTATTCCTTTTTATAAGAATTATTTAACAAAATGATAATAGCGAGAAATAAAATTTTATCAGATTATCTTATTATGCTCATATCATTTATAAACTTGTAAAATACAAAAGAGATTTATGATTTATTCCAATGGCACATGTGGAGAATTAAATTAAGAGAATTTAAATTTAAATTTTTTCGATGAGATTTTGAAACATAATTACGACAGAGAAATGGTCAAGTTTTTAAAATGAATTTTGGAACTCATATGAAATAGCAAATATTTTTGGTAAGTCGATTTTTATATTAGGTCTGTTCGCGTCGTTTACACTTTTTGTATCTATGCTACGAGGGCAAGTCAATAAGTTTTTAGTAAAACACATTTTTTTGATCGATTCATTTTTATTTCTCAACATAGTCTCCTTTCAACTCGATACACTTGATCCAACAATTCTTCAACTTTTTCAAGCCGTCCAAATAATATGATTTGTCCAACCTTTCAAAATAAGCCTCTGTTTCGGCGATGAGCTGCTCTCTGGTGATGAATCTCTTTCCTTCGAACCATTCGAACCATTTCTTCAGGTTTGGAAACAGGAAATAGTCACAGGAGGCTAAATGGCGAATATGCTGAATGAGGAAGCAATTCGTAGCAGAATTGAATTTGGCCATCGGTGCCAGGCACATGTAAATCCATGCATTGTCTCTGGAAGAGTACTTTCTTCTTCGCCAAATGGGGACGTTTTTTCTTTAAAATATTGTTAAAACGGTTCAATAAGACTGCGTAGTAATCGCCATTGATCGTTTGTTTCGACGGAAGGTAATCGATATGAATTCTACCACGTGCATTCCAAAAAACTGTGACCATTATCTTTCCGGCCGATTTTGCGGTCTTCGCCTTCTTCGGAACTAGTTCACTCGATGAAATCCATTGTTTTGACTGTTCTTTCGTCTCAGGTGTGAAATATCCATGTTTTGTCTACAGTAATGAATCGATGCAGAAATTCATCTGAATTACGTTGAAACATCTCCAAATATTGTTTTGAAATCGTCACACGGTCGCGCTTATGATCCACAGAGCAAACGCGGCACCCATCTTGTCGATAGCTTTTTCATATCCAATTGTTCGTGCAAAATTGAAATCACTGTGATACGCCTGTGGCCTCAACAAGCTCTTTCGCTCGTCGATCAATCAAAACAATATCGTGGACTTTATCGATTTCTGACGTAGTAGCCTCAATTGGACATCCCAAACGAGGTGCATCACATGATGTAACACCATGTTTAAATTTATTCATCCAATTGTATACAGTCGCAAACGCTGGAGCAGATATGCTATAAACATTATTCAACTTGGCTTTCTTTCGGCGTTAAATCTTTTATATGTAGATGTTTGATCACTGCACGAAACTCATTTTTTTCCATTTTGCAAAAAATATAGAGATTGTTCGCTTTAATTGTCTACAGAAATGAAATTACGCGATAAATTTAACTCAAAATTTGACAGTAATTAGCTGAGAGATGCTACTTGTCAAAAAATAATGTGACATGACACTGCGAGTGCACTCTGAACAAATTTTCTAAGAACTTATTGATTTGCCTTCGTACTTAGTATCTTCAATTTCTCTTTTTTTAATGTCCAAATATATATTTATCTCACTTTAAGTTCAAAATTTTTGAGAATTTCAATCAACGTGAACAGATCTATTTAAAGACCATATTACGCATATAAAAATTTTATAATAAGATCGTAAAATCAAGCAAATTGATTTAATAATCAAAATTGCAATCTCAAGTTTTAAAACTCTCAACCCGCTTGACTGTGACTACATTTACACGGCGTGTTTAATTGGGTTTATTGTAAAAATAATTCTGTAGTTGGCCAATCATAGCCGCGCTCAAAATGGAGCGGTCCTCTCACGAATTAGGGGTGCTCCGAGTGCCAATTCGGCGTGACATAAAGGGAGGTACAGCGAATCCTGGAGCACCCCGCTGACGGTGTTCCCAGCAATTCAAACTGGAGCGGCAGTGATTGCCATCTCGCAAATCTAATGATGCTAACTCTCGAAAGATCTTAATGATGATGACCATATCCGATGTTAGAAAAGTCTAGATCTTTTCAGAAGATCGGTACTTATAAAACTATGCCAAACCAGTCACCCAAGCTCCAATCTCGCAATAGTACTTGTAATCAGAACCTCGCGTCTCGCGCATCATATCTTTACTTAACAGTTTTGTACATTGCCGAGCATCGGTTGCTGCAAATAAAAGTACGAATTTATCATGTGAAATAAAGTGTTCAGAGAAATAACTCGAATTTTTTCTTTATTGCACCTCGCTACGTCTCCTGACACCAGCATCGATCCTTTCTAACGAGTGCAGAATTTACACAATAGTTGTTCCTCGGAAGAATGGAACGATTGTGATTGGCCAATTTTATAACTATGGATTTTATTAAACCTAGAGATCCTATAATCAGAGTTTGACGAATATAGATCAAAAATAGTGGATAGAAAGATAATAAAGTATTGCTTTCTTATATGAACACATGCGCAAAAATTGTCCTAAATTTAGGATAAGTTGATTGGTTATTCTAATTTAGGACAAATACTTGATTGTCCTAATTTAAATCCTAATTTGCTGGTCATTATGCGCAATGGAATATTTTATATTCTTATGCCAGCTTATAGTTATCTATTCAGCAAACAAGAATGGATGGAAATGAATTGAAATAGATTCAGATTTTCAGAAATATTGATTCACGAATGAATTAAAATGAATGCTTTTCCATTCTGAATGCATTTTTATTCATTTATAAGAATTGCATGGAGCATACCTCTATGTCTTTCAATCTAAAAATAATATTAACTTTTACTGTGCACACAAACAATATTGTGAATACTGTTCAATTCAAAATTTTGAATAGGAAAGTTTCCAATTCAATTGCATTAAATTGAATCTAATTGAATCCAATTAAATCCAAAAAAAGTATTCGCTATTGAAAATACGTATTCGGATAGAAAAAAATTTTAATCCATTTTAATCGATTCTCGTTTGCTGAATATTTCTTTCTTTTTTTTGCACTCGTTTTCGGACATTGGTCTAGTTTCATGAGAATTTAAACTGGATCAGACTATAACCAACCAACTACAATTGGCATTCCCCTGTCGTTTGACTGTAACAGAATAATACTGTATCAATACTCGACTGTAGTTGATTGGTTCTTACATAGCAACGTCTATTTTTCCAAGGCAAGGAGATGATAAAATGATATTTGATTCATATAAATCGTGCATGAACATAAGTATCATAATGAATCAAATATCGATTTATCATCTTCAGTCTTGAAAAGTGGACGATGCTATGTAGTTGCTATGTACATTCATTTTGTCGTAATGCGCGGCAGCATGTTACAGATTTTGACCCGTCATATCCTCTCCCAGTTTCTCTCTGCTAGACAATAGTATTGATTGCATCCCATAGATTTATAAAAAGGAGCGTTTAAGGTTTAAACACAAAAGGCACAGATAGTAAGCACAGACAACAGGGAATAACAAGCCTTCCAATCAGAGCTCTGATATGTAAATTCGATATTATATTCCAGAGCTCTGATTGGACGGCTTGTTATTCCCTGTTGCCTGTGCCTATTATGCCTTTATATGAGAGAAGTTGAAGATAACATTGAAGAATAGCTCTATTCTATAATTGTTTTTCTCTTTTATAGTGAGCGATGGAAGCCCAATCAGCTTAATCATAAAGCCACACTTTCGAACGTCTATCTTCATTGTTCTCAGCCATTTCCTTGCCGCGGCGACCAATCAATTCTCTATTAGAAAAAAAGAGATTATTTCTTTCTTTTTCTATAAAGTCTTCAGCTTTTTTCGTATAAATGCTCCATCTATCTTATAAGTCTATGATGCACCCATTGTATCAAAAATTGCGAACACGTAGTTCGCAGCTATTCCGAGAGAGGTCTCTATTGAAAATTCAAACTTATTCAAGTTAAAATGCGAGGGAAACATGTCAGTTACAACCGTTATTGAGATACCTGGACCGGCCAGTATGATATCGTGAAGTATATATTATTGGTCTGTTTTCTGTGGTTAAATCAGTGTACACTTTTTGGAACTTAAAGTGAAATAGATATATTTGATATTTATCGAAAGTGATAGAGAGACTCTAATGCAAGACTCTAGTGCAGGAATAGAAAACAGACCATTTATTAAAGTTCATTTGAACAAGTTGAACTCTTATTGACGTCTCCCAACGCTTATTGTATTTTAAGACTACATCGACGTTTCTATATTTATATTTCATATAAGTGAATGGTAGGTATGTTATTAAGAATCTTCCGAGAAGAATTTTGGACATCTAATAAATGCCTGAAGAAATTTCTAATCCTATCATTTTCTTTTTTAATAACAATATATTTTTATTTGGATACTGAAAATGTAGATGATTTGGAACAGTGTAAGTGATTTGGGACAGCGTGTATTTTTGTTAAATGTCAATCATAGGGTACATACCACATAGATTAAATTTAACAGGAATACATGTTGCTCCAAGTTACCTGCACTCCCAAGTTACCTACATTTATGGTACTTTTTAAGTTTAATATATATTTTTCTTTATAATTTTATAAAAAGGTCACATATGAATGCTGTTATTGATTTACATTTAAATGAAATAATTTATATTTACATTTTCTTTTATTAAGATATAAACAAACTTATAATTATTTTGTATTTGATTATTATCTATACAAAAAAGAAAATGTTAACAATTGGACATATGTTCGTTATTGATTTTTTTTATTGTATTCACAATGAGTATTTTTATAAATGTTAAGAAATACAGCAATTTATATATGTATAACATTTTTTTCTAGTGATATTGTATAGTAAACATAACATTGGTTCTATATCAATTCTATTGCCATTTTTCATTGGATATTGTTTATAATGGATTATATAAATAAATTTTCAACATCCGTACCTGTTGAATTTAATGAATCTGTTGAAAATACGATGCATAAGATGCAGGAACATGCCAGAAAGTACTCAGACAAAAAGTATGTACATATAAACACAATTGTACTGAACATTAAATCTGTATTTTTTAATTAAACTTTTTGCACCATTTGTTTTTTTTTTCTCCATTTGTAGAGAAAAAGAGAAAAGAAAAATTGTACAAGAAGTTTAGCTGAAAAATAGATGTATTGCAATTATACAGTCATACAGTAAATACAGTTTTTAATAAATAATCAACATTCTATAGGATTTTTAAGTATTAAATATTTTCACATTAAATTAATAATCAATTTAAATTATTAATCAATTATGTTGTCATTTTAAATTTGTTTATGGATTTCATAAATTAATTAACATAGAATTTATTAACATTAAATAGACCCTACAAATGGAGCTTAGAGGATTTTGAAATTGGATCGCCATTAGGGAGAGGAAAGTTTGGCCGTGTATATTTAGCCAGGGAGAAGACTACTCAATATATGGTTGCCCTGAAGACATTATATAAAATTGAATTGATGAAAGGACGCGTGGAAAAACAAGTAATGCGAGAAATTGAAATACAATCACATTTAAGGTATACCACATTTAAGGTATATATGTATTGAAAAATATTAAATATTTTCTTCATAATTATTATCTTGTTTATACGTGTTCCCAGTCATCCAAATATTCTTCAACTGTTAACATATTTTCATGATAACAAGAGAATTTATCTGGTATTGGAATTCGCCGCCAGAGGCGAATTGTACAAGGAATTGAAACGTCAACCGAACGAGAGATTCAATGAGCACTTGTATGTATTTGTAATTCTAACACATCCATTGTTATGTATAATTTAAAATATAAAAATTATTCAATATTCCATCAGATCTGCCAAATATACCTATCAAGTAGCCGACGCTTTGGAGTATTGTCACCGTTGCAATGTGATTCACAGAGACATAAAACCTGAGAATTTACTACTTACATATAACGGAGATATAAAACTCGCAGATTTTGGTTGGTCTGTACACGCACCATCCGCAAAGTAAGCACAAAGCTCACGTTTTCATTTTTTTAAATAGTACAATACTTATAATTTCGAAGAAATATATTTATTTCACAAATTTAATTTTACTGCAAATCATTTAGAGCTGAATCGAAATTTATTCTTTCAGACGAGAAACATTATGCGGAACATTAGATTATTTGCCACCAGAAATGGTAATGGGACAGAGTTATGATTTCTATGTTGATCATTGGTGCTTAGGAATTCTTTGTTATGAATTTCTTACAGGGCAACCGCCTTTTTTAAGTGGCACCACACAAGAAACATATGCGAAAATAAAAACTATAACTATACAGTGGCCAAAACAGATTAAACCTGCAGCCAAAGATCTTATATCCAAGGTACCATTTGTGTTTTATATATCTCTATATCAAAATATACATGATAAAGATTTTTTATTTATAAAAATGTATTTCGCAGTTGATCAAGAAAAAAAGTTTGGAGCGAATTTCCTTGGCTGAGGTTAAAATACATCCCTGGATTGTACAACACTACAATCCTTTATCTAAAAGGAAAGATTAAACTAAAAAGGAACATAGTTTTTTATCGATTTCACAACATATATATTTCATGTTCGACACTTTTATTGTAATCTTTCTTTTTAAGTTTTTTTAATTAATAATATTTAGATTCGCGTTACGGCCACTTTAAATTGATACCCGTTACATCCAATGCGACAATGTCCACTTCGTTATTAAGAAAATCGCACAAACTCGGCTTGGTTCTGCCGAAATCTCCATGTACGAATTCTTTTACGTATGTACCTGCTTGCGTTTTAACATCGAGAACAAAAAACGCATCAGTACTTTCTGCAGCAGTGGACAACAATTCCTTTAGCTCGTGCGGTTTCGCCCAACGCGCGCGCATTTTGTAAATTATACGCGTTCTTGGACTCAATGGTCGTCTGTGCAGCACTCTCAGTGGTGTTCTTTGAATAATTTTAACGTTTTCCAATTCATTCAGATGCTCCAACGGCGGTAAACTGCCACTCACGTCTCGGCAGACACATAGCGCTCGATAAAACTTTGTTTTAATGTTCTCACCTTCCTTAAGCTTCTTCAAATCAAATCTAAAAGTATACATTCGATACAACTTTCTTATTTAATTGAATTCCTTTTTTTAATCTAATTTTAAATTACTTTGTTTATCAATTGTTCTTATTATTTAATTTTATGTATTACACTGTATTTTTTATTCTCATTTTAATTAAATTTTGAAAAAGTATACCTTGAAAGAACCTTTAAATTCGATGTTATTTGAACCTGCTTAGTCGATTGATTGATACTACTGGTCAGACACATCAATAGTTCGTTCGTGATATTCGTCATACGAGGATTCAATAGTTCAATAGCAAATGGTCGGCCACCATATATGTTTCTGACATCGACGTCTTCTCTTCCTGATGATAAAAATTTTATCGCTGTGCAAACGTAAATATGTCATAGCGTTTTTGTTGAAAAAAAAATTATAACAAAATTAATGAATATAGTCAAAACATACATTCTGCTTTTACCATTTCTGCGATGGGATTGCAGAGTAAGTCTTGCACCGAAGTTTCCACTTTTTTCTCACCGTTTATAAGCCACGGAGTCTGGCTGAGTTTTCTAGAGAGTTTATTGTAACGTCCTGAAATTTTAAAGTTTTAAAGAGATCTCATGCTGCATAGTAAATAATTAGTTTGTTATTATTTAAGTTCATATCGTTCATATCGTAATTCATATCGATACCTCCTATGAAGATGCTGCTATGAGAACATAAAACATCGTCAACATGAACAAATGTTTTCGGTATGATTTGCGAAATCGTGAAATGTCGCATGAGTTGCTCATCTGTCATTTCGATCAGTAAAGTATCAACATTCTTCCTACTAAATTTATTATCGTTACATTTTCTCTTTTTCTGTTTCTTATTATTGCCTCCCTTATGTTCGTTTATTCTACAAGTAGAAGTTTTCAAAATGCATGAAAAATTTTCTCTAATCTAAAGAACATCTATATAATCTATATTATTAATACATGCATACATATATATATATATATATACACAATCACAGTTTCATTTCTAATTACATGAATTTTTAAAAATACGTACAATTCTTTAAATATCATTTCGTCGTCGGCATACATTAAGAAGATTTCGATGAGAAAGGGCGATGGTGTCGACAGATCTGCATGTTTTCCTGTAGCTTGTTCAAGTTGAGGAATTATAAACGATTTCCAAATATCTTTGACATTTTGTAATTTTGTTTTAAGAGTACTTAAGATTGATTTATGAATATCTATCTCTTTGGACATGTAAGCATATAATATGTGTTCTCTCAGCTTTACTGATACAGGAACAGTTAATGCACATGTGAAAGTCATACAATCATAATCTTTCTCCTTTACTTTTTCTGCTATCTACAAACAATTGAAATTAATTTAATGTCAGTGAAATTAAATAGAATATAGTTTTGTGTGTGTGTGTGTGTGTGTGTGTGTGTGTGTGGATACTTTACTTTTGTAATTACGTTCTTTTGTTCCTTATCCTGAAGAACTCCTAAACATGCAATGCAAGTTGTTTCTTCCATAGAAGCATCATCTTTTATATCTGCATAACTTAGCTATAATTGATATTAAAATATAAGTGTGTCAAATCAAGTTTATGAACAAAATTATTTATTCATAAGCTTTTTTAAAACAAACTACTTCATTAATATTTAAAGTTACTTATTCCTTTTTACGTGAATTAATTATTGCACATTTATTGCAAATTTAATACAGATTTTTATTCAGATTTATTGAAATATGAAGAATAATATCGATATAATTTAAACAAATCTTCTTATTAAAATTGATATTCGAGATTATTCATTTTTTTTAACATTATTCATTTCTTACCTGTGCCGCAAATTCGGAAGGCTTGTAATAACATTCCGACGTGCGGTATCCGATGAAACGAAAACAACATCTCAAACAGCAACCTCGAGATTTTAAAAAGTGAAAGATCTTTCTCTCTTCTTCCGTCGTCACCATATTCATCTTGATATTAAAATTTATGAAAATCTTCAATATAGTGATTTCCGATATCTAAAACTATATCAAATATTTGTCGGATAATGGTCTTGATTTAACACATTTCGCTGTAGATTATTAGTTGTTTTTTATTTAAATCCATTCTCAGATAATTCTCACTTGTGACATAACACCCAGTTGAATACACATTCCTTTTGCATTCTGACAAGTAAGATTTGATTGAGTTTTGATCTATAATCTGCACAAGATCGTGGGCTTTAATGAGTCTCGTAAACTCACTTTAAAGTAAGGTTATGAATCTACATGTGATAACTTTTTACCAAAGTAAGCAAGTAGTGACGTTATTAATCTGATTGTGAATACAAAATACTTAGCTCACTCTGTTCACTTTAGAGTTTAGACTGAATTTCTCTTGTGTGTAAATGGAAAGCTATTATTGTCTCTGCTCATGTTTGTGATTATTTATTTATCTGTGATAATTACATTAAGTAAACGAAAATATGTAATAGAAGATATTCACGCATTTTATTAATTTTTATAAAGCATTGTCTGAAAATGTCTGAAAATCGAATGTGTAACTATTTTTAGGACTGTATAACCTCTTATAACCTCCAAATGTTACTTTCTAGATAGCCAAATAAGGGCAATATATTGCCATTTTGCTATCACTTATTCCGCATTCAATTTCATCAAACTAAAGTCAAGGTTTTTCCACAAACCGTCTATTGTTCTGATGTCATGTAAAGTCTTCCTTAGAATTCAGCAAACTGCTGGCAAGTTGTCATCATGCGTGCATGGCGTGCCATCACTTTGCTATCAACTAGTTTGACTAGTTTGACTAGTTTATTAGTTCTCAATGTATACAATTTCGTAAACTCATGAAATCTATTTGCCCTTTTGATGCTAACTCAGTTCACATTTAATTTCAATGACAGCAAATTATCAACAAGTTTAAAACAATATTGCAGTGCATCAATTTGTTCCATATGCTAAATCTCGCTTGGCTATCTGGGTTTATACTTGTGTTTATTCGACAGGTTTAAGCATTTATGCCACTTTTAGTAATATAAAGGTTTAAGCATAATCGATAAGTTCAGTACAATGATTTATACAATTTTTGTGCTGCCATAAAAATTAGAGTTTACTATTGTGGTATAAGTTACATGCATCTGGCAAGTCATTATAAATGAAAGCATTAAAAGTATTATGCTGAATTTTACCAATTACGATATAAGTTTACATTTTCCTCGTGTTATGCCTCCTTTAACTTTAAAAAGCCGTTCGTTCGAATTATATAATCTCAAAAAGTACTGCAAAAATTTGTTTTAATTAATTCAAAGTATCACTTGTTCAATCAAAAAAAAAGGGCCGATCTTACCAACTCCGATTAATTTAATGGGTCGATTACATTGAAATTGATCAATTGCATTTGCTATTCAGCAGAATTGACCAATCATGGTTGACACTTCATCGACCGATTAGCTTTGAGATCCCTCAATTCTGACCGATAAGAATTGGTGAAACTTAAGAATAATTAAAGAATGGTGAATATAATCACTTATGTTAAGATTTTTAAAATGTAAGAAGAAAATTACACAATTAGTCCTTAATAAACGATTTTTGATACTTTTGTACTAAATGTTGTCAATAATATTATATATTATGTTGTCTGTAATGTTATAAAAAACATTTCCCTAATAACCCTGGTGAAAATATTTTTCATATAATTTTTTAGAATTTCTATATAATTTTTCAGAATTTCTCTATAATTTTGTAACTTTCTCACATTTTTTTATACGAATTGGAATATTTCTCAGAAAATCTACATCTTTTCTCAGAATCTTTCATATATATTAATTATGAAATATCGTAAGATTTTTAAGATTTTTTGTAAGTACAATTTCTGATGAAATGTTACAAAATGTTTAAAAATACTTTTTAAATTTTTTATATTTAAAAATTATAGGATGAGAAATTTCAGAATATTTCAGAATTCACTTATATGAGAAGTTCTGAGAGAAGATGTAAACTTTCTGAATATTTTTGAGTATTTCTAAAAAATGTTCCAATTCGTATAAAAATTATAAGAAAAATTTTCACCAGGAAAATGATAAGTTTTTTAATGCAATAGCAATAATAAAATGCATTGTTTAAAATATAAATGCAATACAATTTATAACCATTCTTGTAGTCAGTTTTAAGATGATATTTTTCCTTTAAACATTTTTGTTTCAGAGTTTTATATTTATATGAAACAGTGCATTTTTCTTATTTTGTTAGTAAATATATTTACAATAATTTATTATAGTTATAACAATTTATCTACAATTTGTTATGGATATATAATTGCACAAATACTTTCTAAAGATGTCAAAATATATGTAAAAATTGTTTAATAATTTATATATACTTGTAAAAGTGAAAATTAAGCTAGGACATGAATGACCGAACGTGTGTAAAAATTTAAATGATCTTTTCTCAAATTAACAGAAACTTATGCACACACTTTTTTATTTATCTATTTTTTTATTTTATCTTTTTATTTATATTCTATACATATAGGTTATCAAGATATCTTACTAATTTCCTTTTTTTTTAATAATTTGCTTTTGATTTTTGGAAGAAATTATAAAATTTCTTAGAGCCTATTGACAAGTGTTCAAATTATTCCATAATCCAACATATTTACGATTTTAGTACGTAATTCTATTGGCAAACTCTCCAAACTAGGACCCATGAAATTTACTACTAATAATATGTCAGTACGCAAAGGTATGACTAATTTGTCTTTAAACCTGAAAAAATCATTTTGCATTAAGCACTTTATAAATTAAATATATAATAAATTAAATAATAGGCATAAAAATGATACAGGTGTAAATTATACAATAGATATATAGGCAATACAATAGATATATAAATAAAATAGTTTAGCAGACTAGTTACCTGTTAAAAGATTCAAATTTGAGTTTTGGTTTTATTCATTGTATACATATATAAGAGAAATTTTTAATGGTAGAAAAAATTCCATTGAAAAAGAAGAAATGAATACATTCTAAATGCACAACTTAAAATTAGTTAACTTGAGATAATAATTGATATTCAGTGAATTGAATATGCACAAAATGAGAAGATTTTTAAAATATACCGTAAAAAATTAAACAAAATTTTTTAAGTTTTATATATATAGTAAATTTTTTTTTGCATATTTAATTTTTCAAATATTGACACACAAGCAAAAATAAGATGATATATTCTAATATTGCATATCAATTGAAATATAGAAATTCAAATAATAAGAATACATACAGTACAATAAACAAAATCATTCATACCTATGTGATATCTCTTTGAGATTCATATATCGAAGACACAAATTATTTGTGTATGGATTCACATATTTTAATGTTTGTACAACCATGCTATAAATCTTCATATCTCGTATATGCGATAATATATTAAGTACCAATTTATCACCACAAGTTATGACAATTAATTTTGATCTAATGTAATCTACATTACGCAATGTTAAATAGATTTCATATACTCCTGTTTCTTGAGACTTCCAATTTTTAGGTATATAAACTAATCTTGTATTTTGCTCCCTGTAAATAATGCAGATTAATAAATATCAAAAGCATAATAATATATACATA